ACAAATCCTTAGCAGAGCTTTAACTATTGGCTGCAAAACGTTCCTTTAATAACAGGACTTTTTTCTTGACGTTTATTCAGATTCCACCGACCCTTGGAAAAGCTGAACTCCTGTCACCCAAGAGTATCAAGTTGAAGGTCATACCAAGGAACTAGGTTATCCATCCTGTACGCCTTACATCTGAAATAGCGTCCATTCAGCAACGCTGTCATCAAAAAATCATACTTCAAGATCATCATTGAAAAATATGGCTTTAACCAAGAAACCGTTAGGGAGCACATCGATGCCCGCATTGTACATATGAAATAGTGTGGAACGTGTCCAGTTTCAATGAAATCTTTCTTTCAAGTTAAGAGTATAAGAACGTGAGAGTACTGATGTGTCAAACTGCTTGAAGTGTTTACAGTGTCATTAATAACACGTGTTCTGGTAATCATCAGCTTTCTATTTTCCTTTTTTTTTGGCATAGTCATTTTATACTAAATGCACTTAACGTAGTGATATAATACATCATTTAAGCGTGTTAGACATTGGCGTGAATCCCAGGGGATGGGGTATACCCCCCCCACTATTTGAGGTCGGGAATGTGCTATCGAATTATCCGATGGACCCGCTACTATTCCGTTGTGAGCAGAATATAAAGGGGATTGTTAAGACGTTTTTGGACTTCCCAAGGACTACAACTGGCACGGACATAGGGTAAACTATAAAAAAGCAACAGGGGCCTAAATTCCGGATGAATGTAATGCATAATACAGATGTACATGTGTCATGAACACCGACCGCTATAGTGATTTATGGTCTCAGTCCACCCCCCCACCCGCCTTTTCAACTTGCCATGGCCAGGCTAGTCATGCTTCACCCACAAACATATACAGCAAGGTATGAGAAGAACAGAAACCCCCCCCCCCAAGTTGTGTTGGTCATTGTTTCACTGGAATCTGAGGAATTCTTTTCAGACATCTAAGGGGGATGTGTTAGATAAAAAATAGTCTGGAGTTTGTATAGGGATTGGACATGTTGGGGGAGTACCCCTTGTTCTCATTTCTTGCTGGTCACGGTTATACCCACAAATCCCCATCTTCCATTTCTGGCACTAACTTACGCCACTATGGAATTCCATATCTGCCGTCGCCCGTCGCTCGTTGTGCGTCGTGCGTCGCCCGTCGTGCGTCGTGCGTCGCCTGTCGTGCGTCGTCCGTCGCCCATCGTGCGTCGTCCGTCGCCCGTCGTGCGTCGCTCGTGGTTTTTTTTGTCACGATTGCGCAGTGGTATTTTTAACCTTGACCCTTGATCATTTCACATGTACATGTCCTTGTTCGATCGATCCACCATGCCTNGCAAATCCTGAGCAGAGCTTTAACTATTGGCTGCAAAACGTTCCTTTAATAACAGGGCTTTTTTCTTCACGTTTATTCAGATTCCACCGACCCTTGGAAAAGCTGAACTCCTGTCACCCAAGAGTATCAAGTTGAAGGTCATACCAAGGAACTAGGTTATCCATCCTGTACGCCTTACATCTGAAATAGCGTCCATTCAGCAACGCTGTCATTAAAAAAATCATACTTCAAGATCATCATTGAAAAATATGGCTTTAACCAAGAAACCGTTAGGGAGCACATCGATGCCCGTATTGTACATATGAAATAGTGTGGAACGTGTTCAGTTTCAATGAAATCTTTCTTTCAAGTTAAGAGGATAAGAACGTGAGAGTACTGATGTGTCAAACTGCTTGAAGTGTCAGTGTCATTAATAACATAATGGCATAGTCATTTTATACTAAATGCACTTAACGTAGTGATATAATACATCATTTAAGCGTGTTAGACATTGGCGTGAATCCCAGGGGATGGGGTATACCCCCCCCCCCACTATTTGAGGTCGGGAATGTGCTATCGAATTATCCGATGGACCCGCTACTATTCCGTTGTGAGCAGAATATAAAGGGGATTGTTAAGACGTTTTTGGACTTCCCAAGGACTACAACTATAGGGAAAACTATAAAAGAAAGCAATAAGGGCCTAAATTCCGGATGAATGTAATGCATAATACAGATGTACATGTGTCATGAACACCGACCGCTATAGTGATTTATGGTCTCAGTCCACCCCCCCACCCGCCTTTTCAACTTGCCATGGCCAGGCTAGTCATGCTTCACCCACAAACATATACAGCAAGGTATGAGAAGAACAGAACCCCCCCCTTTGTGTTGGTCATTGTTTCACTGGAATCTGAGGAATTCTTTTCAGACATCTAAGGGGGATGTGTTAGATAAAAAATAGTCTAGAGTTTGTATAGCGATTGGACATGTTGGGGGAGTACCCCTTGTTCTCATTTCTTGCTGGTCACGGTTATACCCACAAATCCCCATCTTCCATTTCTGGCACGAACTTACGCCACTATGGAATTCCATATCTGGCGTCGCCCGTCGTGCGTCGCCCGTCGCTCGTTGTGCGTCGTCCGTCGTGCGTCGCCCGTCGTGGGTCGCCCGTCGTGCGTCGTCCGTCGTGCGTCGCCTGTCGTGCGTCGTCCGTCGTCCGTCGCCCGTCGTGCGTCGCTCGTGGTTTTTTTTGTCACGATTGCGCAGTGGTATTTTTAACCTTGACCCTTGATCATTTCACATGTACATGTCCTTGTTCGATCGATTCACCGTGCCTGACTCTCATTCTA